ATCTTTCTTCCCATTTTCCTTTAGACTCTTCAATTCCTAAAAGTAGATATTAAAATACCTCAGATCACAGTCCTCCTCATCTTTCTTTGCTTTGCTGTCTATCCTATTTATCTAAAGGGATTATAAAATGCCATGGCTTTCAGTATCCTTTCTGAGGACAAGACTCCCAGATTTATACCTAAGCACTTACATCTCCGTTGAGGTCAAGATTTGCATATCAAGAGCCTTCTTGATGTTTCCATTAGGATTTCCAGAACTCTCAGACTTCATACATCACAAAGAGAAAATCCTTCTTCAGTCTTTATCAGATCATAATTAGTTTACCATTCATCCAAATGTTCAAGGAAAAAAATGTGAGTACATTGTTCTCTCATCCAATCTCAACAACTTGTTGCCAGTGATATGCAGCAACCTCTCACTTTCTTACCCTGTACCGCCCTAGTCCTAGTCTTTAGTCTGGGATAGTATTATTATTAAGCTACTAACTTATCTCCTACCTAGTGTTTCTGAATGCCCTCTTGCCTCTCTCGCATCGTATGTAAAATGTATTTAGGTTATTGGCTGTAAGACCCCTTTAGTCTGATATTTATCTAAGTCTTCTTCCTCTTCTACCATATATATCTTTTCTCTCCATATTCCTATACTTTCCATCCTGAGCAACTTGGCCTTCCTGATGCTTCTCAAACACTTCAAGAGTTTTCTAGACTCAGTTTGCACATAATATTTCCTCTGCCCAGGAGTACATTGCTTCAAATCTCACATAATTTACACCTTCACATGATTCAATTTCTGTTCACATCTTACCTTCTTAGAGTGATTTTCCCTGACCTCTCCATCCCTATTCCTCTAGAGTCCCTGTGCTCTGTTTTGTTTTCATAGCTGTATCGCTTATTACACAGGTTTGTCTGTTGTTAGTCTACCACCACATAAAATAAGTTTCATAAAGTTAGGTACTTTGTCTATTGTTCAGTATAGAACACTAGTGGCTAGAACAGTTTCTGGAACAGAGCAGTGAAAATAAACAGATGGTAAATGAATGAATAAATTTAATCATTA